CTATAACAAAAATGACAACAGTAAGGATAACAATCCTACCTAAACCTGGGCAAAATACACAGTGAAAATCCAGCAATGAAACTAGCAACCTTTTACACGATGGTAAACAAACACAGGTGTGATACTGGATCTGAATCTCGCTGAATTATTAATACGGGTCAGAACCAACTCACTGTGTGTATGTGTGTGTGTGTGGAAGGACTGGGCCTGGACCTGCAGGTCCATGGTAAGGCCTGCTGAGAGCACAGGGCTGAGAGCACAGGGCCTGCAGCCAACAGGGCCGAGCCCTGAGAGCACAGGGCAGAGCCAGAGGGCCTGCGGCCAACACAGCTGTGCCCTTGCAAAGCACGTGGGATCACTGAAGGCCCTGAAGCCAGGCTGTCAGTCAAGGAAGGCCTGCCTGGGAGCCCATCCACACTGCAGCCTGTGACTGGCTACAGCACATCTCACTCCAACCAGGAAGGCACTGACCAGATATCCTGCTTGGGACAGAAAACTAAACTGTATAAATACACGAGACTCTATGTGAGCTCTTTTCTCTCCTTTCTCCTGCTGCCTGAACGATGTGAATCATTGAATCTTGTCAGTAACCATTTTTCCTTTCCTTTCTCGCCTTACCTTTTTTTTTTTTTTTGCTTTCTTCTCTCTTTCTTTAGCCTTTTAATCTGTTTTCTTCTTTTACTCTTTTCCGTCTCTTGTGGATAACTTAAAACCAATTAATTGTTTATTAAGCTGGTATATTGATTACAATAGGTGTTTTCTGTGAACTGAGTTTTTGTGACGGGTGTTTTAGTAAAATGCTTTTCTTGGTTGTACTTTACTCTTGTAAAACCTTTTGCCAAAATATCTTATTTTTCTCACTAAATTAAAAGAATTTATCTTAGAGAAGAGTGTGTGACTCTTTCTCTGGATGCAAATTCGAGGTTATAATGAACAAAAAGGCTTTTAAAAAGTCTTAAATAAAATGTAACCACTCTGGGCAGTTTATGGCTTAAAATCTGGAGTGTAACAAGAAGTTAATTCTTTCTTTGTGAAGGTGTAATATTGTCAGTTGTACTAAAGTACATACACTATTGCACATATAAAAATCTGCTTCTGTTTTACCAGTCTGTCATAATTTTTTTTTTCATAAAATAGGCATCAATCAGTCAACATCCTCTCTTAAAAGCAAAATCCCAGAAAAATAAAATATTTTTGCATGTAACCAAGATCAAGTGTTGTCAAACTAAGAGGAAAAGTGACCTCAGACTGAAAATTTTACCTTAGGTCTGTCTCCTTCATGTAATCCAGACCTTCTCTGGCAAGTAGGGCTCTTCTGTGAGCACAGGCAGAGAAATTAGTCCCAACTAAGCAGTATTCAAATTGTTTTGGAAAAGGTCAAAGACAAGTCTATAAATCTACATTGGAAACTGACTGCTAAAAGTTGTGGATTAAATAACAGGGCTAGAAAGTACATATTCTAGAAGAAAGAATCACTAGGTAAAAATTTTTGAAAGGTTTTAAGGCACACAACCTGATGAGGGGTCAGAAGTGTGAATGATGGAGTCAAGAATGAGAGGTTGAAACCTTGGCAAGCTGAGAGGTAAATATTGTAAGAATTTGAGCCAGATTTCTGGGCAACAAATAACTGGACTATCCATCATCAGCTAGTCTGGAAAAGCCTGCAGATCACCTTAGACAAAAGAAGCTGTAATAGCTTCTGCTGTTTTTACTTTTTGCTTCCCTTATTTTCATAAATCATCTTTCAAATGTACCAAATCTTCGTTGCCTATCTTTATATATGAAACATGTCTAGGAGTATTCTGGGCACAAAGATCAGCTGGCATAAGACAACCTATGTTTATACATGTCTTAGAATTTCCAAAGTGGGGATGGCAAAGCTGCATTTTGAGAATGTTTCTTGGGACCTCACAAGTGCTGAATCATGCCCAGTTTTGTCTGGGAGAGGGCCAGTTGTCCTGAGCCCAAGGCATGTCAGAGACCAATCTCCCAGTTCAGTTGAATAGACTCAGATTGTGGCGGTTGATAAAGTCCCTGAATGCTCTTCAATTTGCTTGGCTGTCACACACAAGGCTTTATCCAGTGTACTGAGGGCAATTGTCCTCCCTAAACTAATGCTGGAAAAAACCCACAACAATTTGTGCACACAAATTGTGCACGCAGACACTTGCTGCTTGCTCTGGTGGATTAAGATTTTGGAGTTCCTACATGCCAACATTTTCTCTGTTAAAGGCTTCAATCTGATCCTGAGTATGACAGACCATATTTTGTGTCTGCATTGCAATATTACTTAGTTGAATAAAAGTTTCAAGTGACGTTTTCAGTTGTTTGATTTTGAGACGTAGTTATCTGACTAAATGTTTACCCTTAGCTATTATGCTATTGTCAAATAAAGGTACTTATATGCAGTTATTTGCAGGTGTAGGTAGGTTTGCACATGCAAAAATAAAGGTGCCAAATTACACAATTAATTTTCTCTTTGTCACACCACAAGCTCATGTGAACCTGAGATATTGCCTCTGCTTATATATGACACATTCAAGCCTGTCCCTTTTCATCTAAATTCATAGTCATCTGGTGTCCATTCAAGCAGCCTAATTTTGTTTCACTGCTTCTGTCCTAACTGCATGAATTCACAGCGAAGCAAGGATTAACACTGCAAAATTGTTCTACATAACATATCATGGAAGTGGTTCACAGGCCCAAGTAGCAAAGAGGCAAGAAACTAACAGTGATAACTCTGACTTTTAAAAACAACTGTAGCAAATTTATTAGTAAGATCTCTTGGCCAGCATGCCAAACAACTTCAACTTTTAGACCTAATTGGAATAAGCAACAAAACATAGAATATTTAATTACTCATCCAATAAATATCTTATTTTGCTGATTATACTAGTAGATATGAAGGAAGAAAAATCCAAATAAACTTATTTTTATTATGAACAGAATTGTTTTCAAGAGAATAATTTCCATGAATCATCAGCAGAACTTTAGCTTTTATGCCAGAATTATTCAGCCCAAGACTGTCTACATGAGAAGCTATTTTTTTTCCATTAATGGGCTGATGCAAAATGTTTTAAAACTATCAGTTTGGAATAATTAAATGGAATATTGGACTCACTTCATAATGTTGCTCTGCAAGATTTCTTTAACAGAACTTCCTCTCCTGTTCCAAAATGGGCAATTATGTAAGAGTGACAGCTGTTGAGGTGGCAGATGCCAATGTCAAACCGATGACAAAAATACTGATTCTTCTTTATGAAAAAAGAAATCTTTTTAAACAGTGTGGTGGAAAAGATGCAACAAATCATCTTGAAGCAGGTATTTCTTAGCCTCTCAGTTCTAAACACTTGCTTTAGTTTTGTGATTGTATCTAGGGACCCAGAAAAGCTAGACTCAGAAAAATGGACATACTTGCCAGTACTCAATCTAATATGCAACATTTTCCTAGAATAGCAGATATGTTTGCAAAAACACTTATTGAAGAGTTGGCACAAATTGGAAGAGAAGGAACATTGTGGAGAGAAGGTACAAGACTGGGTATATCCAGGAAGATGGAAGTGGCATCCACTACTGTCCTCAATATATTAAAACTATTCTTCAAATGTTTTTTCTGTCAAATCTCCCTGAAGAAAAAGTAATAAATTTTCTTAGTTTAGATTTTATGCAAGCGTGTTGTAAAAGGGGAAGGTAGGGAAGGGGAGGGGAGAGACATCTCCCTCTCAAATTCCCCTCCTCAGGAAGATGTAGAGAGAAGTGAGGTCGCCCTTCAGCCTTTCTGTCTCCAAATTAGACAAGCCCAAAGTCCTCAGCCATTCCTCACTGGACAACTTTTTCACCCTTTCATCAGCTTTTTTGCTCTCCCCCGGATGTATTCAAGGACCTTCACATTCTTCCCAAATGTCGAAGCCCAGAACTGCACATAGCACTCAAGGTGAGGCCATGACAATGCTAAATACAGGGGGATCACCACTTTTGACCAGCTGGTGATGCTATGTTTGATGCACTTCAGGAAATGGTTTGCCTTCTTGGCTGGCAGAGCACATTGCTGGCTCACACTGAGCCTGCTGCCAACCAGCACCTCCAGATCCCTTTGTGCAGGGCTGAGAAAGAAGGACTGAAAAGACAGTGGAAAAAAGGGATGTTTTAGTCTTGACATACACAAAAGATACCCAGATATATTTCAGCATTTAGTAAACCCATGCAGTGGTTTTAAAGTAAGCTGTGTGTTTTACCATGTTGTTCAGTCTCCTCGTAGGGGGTAAGTGGCAGGGACCATGCCTATACTTCTCTCAGGATGCAGTCCCACTGCTCAGCCTACTGAGTCTCAGTTCATAACTTTCTGGTTCCTCTGCCAAGTCTTTGGCAGGCAGAGCTGGGTTTTCACCCTACTAGAGACTTTCCTGACTGTGCCCAGTTGGCTATGTCTTAAAATGCATCAGTAAATGAAATGACCAAAGAACTGTTTTCTGCCTGTGGGAGCAAGTGCTACAACCCGTCGCACCCATATGGTTGAATTCTCATCTTCCAAAATGGGCTGTCCGCATCTCTTCTGTCTACTGGGAGCAGCGCCCTCTATTCCCTGGTCCATGGCTGGGGAACATGACGTATCAGGTTACCAACTGGCACAGGCTAGCAGAATGCCAGGAAGGGAATCAATGGTATCTCCATGATCAGCTAAAATTCTCTCTTACCTTGATGCCTACCACAAGCATAACTTCTGTAAATTTATTGAAAACTTAATGAAAGAGAACAGTTAGATCAGAAGTAGGACTGAGGAAATTTTTACTTCCTGAAATTTAAGGGGGACTTGTACGTGATCACTTAAGCAATTCATTTTTATTCAGAAATAATATGAGGAAAAAATATCCTGGCTATGAAGCATATGATATGAAATTGGAGTCTGTGGTCCTGCACAGTGTTCTTTATTTCATCACAGAAGAACAAAAGTTAGCAAATTAATAAAATAACCAATTCTCAATATTGGGATTAAGGCGGACTTTTTTGTCTGAGGCACTCTTAATATAGGGGCCAGGTTCCGTCCAGGTTCTACTTTACCTTATAAGACTTCATTCCAGAAGTCACAATCAGACTTTAATTTTTTTAAACCCTTCTCATTGTCCATTTGCTTTGCTTATAGGCAAAAGAGGCAAATGAATCCAATAGGTAGGAAGTAGATACTGCTTTTGTGTATTTTCCATCTGAGTTTCTCAACTGATGTTACAGCAAAGTAGAGTTAAATAAATTTAATTAACAACTTCTTACCCTTTAAGCCCCATAACATCTAGCTCACAGAAGGAAAACATTCATAAAATAAAGATAAGGATATCTGTGATAGCTTCTTAATGTGCCAATAAAATGTGATTGAGAACATACAGCGTATCTCCTGGGATTTTAGGATTAAGTAGTCACATTGCTAAGCATTGCAAATAGTTTTGTAGATGAGGCTATTTATATGACCACGGGAATGTAAGAAGTGTAATAAGGGATCAGATCACAGATTAATTTCAATAATTATAATTTCCAATAATAATCATGTATAAGAATGGCCATTACTAAATGCCTAAAGAAAATTGGAGAAGAAAACATTGATATTTGACTGAAATAATCATATTGTTACAGACCTGTGGGTTAGAGAGTTTCTGAGCTACAAATGGTTTATTATACACAAATAACCATTTTTAGTAGTATTATTATTTGTTCATTACTTAGAAGATAACACAAACACAGAAAAAGCCTGGATCTACTAGCTAGATTATATATGGTTTGTGTAGAGGCCATCCGGTCAGACCAGTTGAGGTGACGTACCAGCCCGTAGTTTTTTTCAGTCGTTGCTAGCTGATGTTGGTGCAAGAACAATACCTTCAGCCGGTGAATCTTTTTCATTTTGGCTTAGTTGTGGTTCTGAGACCCAGTCGCAGAAATGATGGGCTGTTTGTATAAGGATAGCAGCAATAGGATGTTTTTTGTCCATTGCACATCCTATTGGGGGGAGGGGGAGAAAGAAGGGGACAGGATGTGTTTAGTGTCTTGTAGCTTTTTTCTGTATTACAAGAAATGAAAACCTTTCAGAAATGCCCAGTTTGAAGTTTCTTTACATTTCAAGAAAAATTTTTGACACAGTTTAACATTTTTGTTTCAGCCAAAAAATAACCATTGTTTACCTTGAAGTTGCATTTTTCAATTAATAAATAACTTCTTTGCTACTGTAGCCATTATTTGACATTTCCCCCCCGCCCCCATGTATTAGTACTATTTTGAAGGACTGCATAACAAAATTGTGATGTGTGACTGAAACAGAGAGACTGCTGTTACAAGTAAAAATAAAAAAAAAAATAAAAAAGTTCATTACTTCCTAGGGCTTTATATTTTAGCAAAACCTTCATTTTAACTTAGTCTCCTTCTTCATTATCATAGGACTGCAGTGGTCTTCCAGCAGATAAAAGAAATCATGAGGTGATATCTTCATCGTCTGTCATTTTAACATATACACTAGTATCACTTAACATACACATATCTATGTAAAGTAAACAATGGTACAAGAAACAGCAAATGAAGACACTAATCTCACAGGTGACTGTCCACACAGACAGCATGCTGAACAGCTCACACTCAGTGAAATACATTTATTTGGAATTAACAGGTATGATTTGAAGAAACAAACACCCACATGATCAAAGGGATAATTTTGGCAAGTATGTGGATTGCCTTTCAATTTATTTATAAATGTTGGGCTACTGAAGAAGTTAATTAATAAAGTATAAAGCAGGCTCTGTCATGATAGTTTAAAGAACATATTCAGTTCTGTTAGGTTTTCATAATATGCTAATGCATGGCTTTTTCACTGTTTTGGGGATTCAGGGTAACAGATAATGCCGTGGGCAAATTAACTCAGTCACAGAATATTCTGAGCTGGAAGGGACCCACAAGGATCATAGAGTCCAACTATTAAATGAATGCCCTGTACAGGCATCACACCTGTGACCTTGATGTTATTAACACTATCCTCTAATCAACTAACCTATTCTGCATTCTAAGGACTGATCCCTCTTTTTTTTCATGCAAATAGTTCTTTTGTAATTATGGTCTTTTAGCCTTTCTGGCCTTCATCATATTTTAACTTCTATGACTCCTTTGCTTTAGAAAACAACTCAATTTTACATTTGGGAATTGAACAAAGGGGAAATTATCTAGCTGCTCCTTTGACAAGATTACACTTTAATTTTTTTCAGCTTTAAAATTCATTTTATGTTTATATCTATGAGGAATGAGTCCTAATATTATTTTGACAAGCTTAGTTTTACATTTTTAAAAGTCTGAGGGAGTCTAGTAGAGAAGATCACCATGGCAGGTCTACTGTGTTTTTAACAACGACACCCTATAAAAAGGGAGAACTCGCATCTGTCCAAAATTTTTGTTACTGTCACCTTGTTCTACTTTTTGAAGAAGGAAACATTCAAAGATCTTTTTATTGCTTCAAATTAATGGCTGCTTATACTCAAATTAAATTTTCACAGCGTCAATGTCTGTTAGCTAAATGCATCTTCTTTAGTCAGAAGACATTTCTTCCCTGTTTCAGATCAACAGGGAAATTTCAGTTTCCAATCAGCCCATTAGACATCGTGAAACATTTATGCCTTCATATGCCTTTCTCGAAGAATTTTAATATATGTTGTTCGGAGTAAGAACTGTGGCAACAGATCAGTTATACAAAACAGTCACAAGACTAGGTAAAATTCTGCTGAATTTACTGATAAGAGAAATGTCTTGTGCATGAATAAAGTCTAGCATTGAAGTCAGGTGTTTGGACAAACACTTCTCATGCCACTGATATCTAAGAAAGGTGAAAGAAAAACTGGGGTTTCAAAAATTCATTGTTGACTGCTTATCCATTCTTTCAGCATTTTAAAAAAGCCTTAGATAACCCTAAATACATTTGGCAATGTTTTAGAAATCGTTGGGTTTGGAAATTGTTGTTGGGTTTCTAAAAGCACAATCAAACTGTTTATATCCTTTGGCCCCAAGAGAGATGCTTACATCATTACCATGCGCGGCAACAATCAGAGAATGTGATGGTTTTTACCTTCATATTGTATACTCCACATAATTGGGGCATTCTTAATCAGAAAGTTCCCAAGGGAACTGTAATGGTACTTAATTAGGACAGTTGCGTCATCAGGCAAATGTTGTTTGTAATTAAAGCAGAGACCTATGCAAATCACTTAATCTCTCCCTCTCTTTTTAAGGAGGGAAAAGAATCTTTTATTGGGCAGATAGTGACAGGAAAAAGGACAATTGTTTTAAATTGAAAGAGGGTATGTTTAGGTTAGATGTTGGAAGGAATTCTTTACTCAGAGAGTGATGAAGCACTGGAACAGTTGCCCAGAGAAGTTGTGGATGCCCTAATCCTAGCAGTCTTGAAGGCCAGGTTGGATGGGGCTCTGAGCAACCTGATCTAGTGAATGGCATCTTTGTCCATGGTAGGGGGGTTGGAACTAGGTGAACTTTAAGGTTCATTCCAACCCAAACCATTCCTTTATTCTATGATTATAAGAACAAGCTACTGGAAAGGATAAGTTATCCATTCCTGTCTTTGGCTTCATGAGTAACTTCTCATGTTAGTAAAAGATGCTTAAGGAAGGAAAGATGAACAATTTTAACAATCTTCTTCCCGTGTAGTATATGCCAGGCTAGTAGAGTCTGTATTCATTTAACAGTCTAGTTACATCCTATTAATTTTTAAATTCGTATTGATCTCTGGGCCTTCTGGATTGTCCAAGTCTTAATTATCATTGATGGTGGGACATGCAAGTAGGGACATAAAGGGTTTCAGAAATTAATCTCCTTAAGAAGTGAAATTGTCTTTGCTGTACCATATAACTCAAAACAAAAGCTTGAAGGTCAAGGTTCAAACTCTTGTTCCAGTTAACACAACTAAGAAATGTCCTTTAAATAAAGAATTTGGCGGGGGGGAGGGGGAGAAAAATTATAGTATACATTTTTCAAAGAACAGAGAATGCAAGACTGGGTGGTGGTGGTGGTGGTGGTGTTTACGATTTACATATTTGTGGCAGAGTCCTTGTGTGAGAATAAACAGTGCAAAGAGAAGGAGAAGCCTCCTGATGTGTTGTGGACTTTGTAAGAGGTGTAAGTATCAACTGGACTGAGAGGCTTAGACTCAGTCCTCCTCTGACAACTACAAGAGTTCACTGGTATCTAGCTTCTGGTAAAGGCAAGATCTCATATTTTTTCTGCCAGAATAGATAGTACGATATATTTCATTGCCTCAGATATGAATATTTTGAAGTATTGTATTTTTCACATGCCAAGTTCTTTTGGTGTCATTTTAAAATGTGTAAATAATTTATTTCTCATATGACATAATGAGGGTATCTGATGACATGAAGATGCTGCATAAATATGTGAAAGATTTATCAGACTATGGAAGTGTTAGCTGCACTTGGTTGAAGTGCTACACAGTTTGTGACAGGTCTTTTTTAAAACAAGAATGCAGTTGTTTTTTTTTAAAAAACATTTCATGGCTTTTTTCTCCATAGACTTTTCACAAGTAAGCAGAAAAACTGCATGAGAAACAGGTGCTGTTGGGTATGATGTGCTCTAGAGGAGCAAATGTGAATGAGCAAATAACCAATTTAATTTCCATTTTAATTCATAATAGATAGCACCAACATCCCATGGATATTCTTTTTGTGCTAATAGTTATTCATCTGAATGGCATTTCTGAACAGTAGAATAATCTGTACAAGAACAATGAAATCTAAAGGCATACAAGTATAAATTAAGGCATTTTCACAAATGAAAACTCACTTAGAAAATAATTTCATTTTTTTGTTGCTAGAGAATTTCTCTTTACTGCTTCACCCTGTTATGTTGGGGTAGTGAAGCCTGTGGACACCTATTTGGAAGTTGGAAAGTCAAGTGTCTCTGGTCATCTGACTTGGGGTTATAGTTTTTGACATGCCTGGTTCTGTTGGCGCCAAACTAACAATTGCACAGTTTAACCCAAATATGACATTTTCTATTACATACCAAAATTTGCCTCTGTGTTACTGCAAGAAAATCATACTATGTGACAGTAAAAATAAAAATGAATAAAGACTTTTAATTGGCTTTAAAAACTGGAACATGTTTTATCTCACCCTGATAGGGTTGCATAAATCTGAAAATAGGGTTTTCCACAATGAAATCCACACAGATTACTCATATGAAACTCCAGGTTCAAGACAGCAGTTGAATTCAGTGGCAGCATGTCCTGCAGTGCAGTAACAGAGGCCTTCTTCAGTGCTCACCATGGGCTTACTGCATCCCAGCTTATGGAAGAAGTATCTGTCTTCTCCATTCCCAGTGACTGGCTGCATTGACAACTCCTTCAATACCAAACCCTTCACACAGTGAGCAATAGATCCAAAGTTCCCATGCCTCCAGAATGGGAAGTTTTTTGATTCTTCAGTCTCTTGGGTTTGTTTTGTTTTGTTCTGTTTTGTTTTTCTTTCACTGTGAATTTTTTGCATTGTGCATCCTGCTTAGTATTTTTATTGATAATCTGGATGAGGGGATTGAGTGCACCCTCAGTAATTCCATGAACAACACCAAGTTAGGTGGAAATGTTGATCTGCTGGATAATAGGAAGGTTCTGCAGAGGGATCTGGACAGCCTGGATCAATGGATCAAGGCCAACAGAATGAGGTTCTACAAGGCCAGGTGCCAGGTCCTGCACTTGGGTCACAACAACCCCATGTTCTATTACAGGTTGGGGCCAGAGTGGCTGGAAAGTGACCCAGCAGAAAAGGACCTGGGGGTGCTGGTCAACAGCCAGCTGAACATGAGCCAGCAGTGTGCCCAGGTGGCCAAGAAGGCCAATGGCATCTTGGCCTGCATCAGAAATAATGTGGCCGGCAGGACTAGCGAAGTGATTGTTTCTCTGTACTTGGCACTGGTGAGACCACATCTCAAATCCTGTGTCCAGTTTTGGGCCCCTCATTTCAAGAAAGGCATTGAAGTGCTGGAGTGTGTTCAGAGAAGGGCAATGAAGCTGGTGAAGAGTCTAAAGAGTAAATCATATGAGGACTGGCTAAGGGAGCTGGGGTTGTTTAGTCTGGAGAAAAAGAGGTTTGGGGTTACCTTATCACTATCTACAACTACCTGACAGGTGGTTGTAGCAGGGTGGGGGTTGTCCTCCTCTCCCAGGCACCAAGCGACAGGAAGAGTGGACAGAGCTTCAATCTGCACCAGAGAAGGTTCACGTTGGACACTGGGAGGAATTTTTTCATGGAAAGGGTTTTTAACATTGAGATGGACTGACCAGGGAAGTGGTGGAGTCACCATCCCTAAAGGTGTTCAAGAAACAACTAGATGTGACAGTGCTATGTTCTAGTTAACAAGGTGGTGATCAGTCAAAGGTTATACTCAGGGGTCTCAGAAGTCTTTTCCAACCTAAATGATTCAGTAATTCTGTGATTTTTTTCTGGTATACACACCCGAAAAAAGACAGAGATGAGACCATGATATTTCAAGTGAAAGTTACCACACGTCCTTCATCTTAAAACAAGGATAATGGAGTTGAAATATAAGTATTTACATTAAGTAGTGAAAGAGAAACCAGATTCAAATGAAACAAAAAAAAATATATAGTGGGTATAATGAGATTATGTATCTAATACTCACTTAATGTGGTTACGTTAAGTATGACTAAGTCCACATAATAAATAATCTGTAAATAACATTTACTGTCACTTGTCTATCTCTTCCTTCTAGAGAAAATTCTATTAATGCCAACATCTACAGGAAAGTAATGGCTAATCGTTCTACTGTAAATACTGATTCAGGGATGCCTGTGAAACAAGGAAGGGCTCATCTGTATTTTAACCTTTGGTTAAAAGGTTTTCTCTTCAAGCATATGTTTTTTGTTTAGCCTGCCATGATCAATTGTCCCAATTTTTTCACTGCAAATAGTGATTGTTATTGCTTAGTTGATTGAGACTGCTTGCTAAGGGGAGTTCTGCTGGAGAAGATTATGCAGGTCAACATTTTGCCTGGAGCTGTAGACTGAAAATTAAGAAAACTAATTTCAAGACAGCCAGACTTACATTTTCTCTATCATTCAATACAGACTAATGCTATAATATAATATTATATACAAATTGGGTTTTTTAAGAACATTAGAAAATAAGTTGTTTGTACTACTTTGGGGAAAGATATATGGGGAAAGGAAAAAAGTCACATTGTAGTTAAGGACAAGTCCTGTTTCTATTCCTAGTAACTATGTTATTTCTGAGATGTAGGGATAGGACTCGCAGCTATATACTGTTCAGGCAATAATATGTATTTTTAGTCGATAATGTAAAACACAACTTTCTCCTCTGGTAAACATATAAGTCTCTTCAACTAAATGTTTCTGTCATGATATCAAAGTGAAATAGCATCAGACTCTGTTTTGGGTTTCTGTGGGCAGGTTTTGGTAGCAGGAGGGCTACTGGGGTGGCTTCTATTAGAAGCTACTAGAAGCTTCTAATGTCCAGAAGGGCCAATGCCAGCCGGTTCCAGGATGAACTCACTGCTGGCCAAGGCTGAGCCAATCAGGAATGGCAGTAACACCTCTGAGAAAACATATTTAAGAAGGGGAAAAAAGTTATTGTGCAGATGAAATTGCAGCCAGAGAAGAGCAGAGTGAGAGAACATGTGAACATCAATGCAGACACCAAGGTCAGTGGAGAAGGAGGGGGAGGAGGTGCTCTAGGCCCTGGAGCTGAGGTTCCCCTGCAGCCTGTGGTGAAGACCATGGTGAGGTACCTGTGCCCCTGCAGTCCACGGAGGCCCACAGGCATGCAGAGACCCACATGCAGCCTGTGAAGGAGCCCATGCCATAGCAGGGGGATGCCCAAAGGGGGATGTGATCCTGTGGGAGGCCCATGATGGAGCAGGGGCCTGGCATGGATCTGCTGACCTGAGGGAAGAGGAGCCCATGCTGGAACAGGTCTTCCTAGTAGATCTTGTGGCCCTGTGGGGGACCCACACTGGAGCAGCCTGTTCCTGAAGGATTACACCCCTTGGAAAAGTGACCCACGTTGCAGTAGTTTGTGAAGAACTGCTGTCCATGGGATGGGCTCACACTGGAGGAGTTCATGAAGGACTGTCTCCCATGGGAGGGACCCCATGGGGAGCAGGGGAAGGACTCCTCTCCCTGAGCCGCGCCAGAAACAACTGAATGCAACCCCCATTCCCTGTTTCCCTGCACCGCTGGGGGGGGGAGGAAGTAATACTTGAAGGAGAGGCAGGTGGGGGAAGGTGTTTTCAAGATTTATTTTCCTACTAATTTTCCTGCTCTGATTCTGTTAGTAATAAATTTAATTAATGACCCCACTTTGAGTCTGTTTTGCCCAAGACAGCGATCGGTAAGTGTTCTGTCTGAGTCCTTATCTCAGCTCATGAACCCTTCATTATATTTTCTCTCCTCTGTCCAGTTGCAGAGAGGAGTGAGACAGCAGCTTTAGTGGATATCTGGCATCCAGCCAGAGTCAACTCACTACAGGGTGAAAGCTAAGATAAAAATCCATCTGTATACACCATTTATAAATTCAGTAAGCAGGAACAGCTTTGATAAAAGGAGCCAGGTTCCTACTGTCAACTTTTTGTATTCTTCTACCATGAACAAAGCTGAAGTTTATGAAATCTATTGCTATTTGTAATGCAGTCTGCATTTTCTAAAGGGTAAAAAAAAAAAAAAAAAAGAGTTCACAAATTATTTTGTTTGATGTTTTCGTCCAAGAATGCTTTTTCTGCCCCAAGACAGATTGGCAAGGGATAATATAAGACAAGGATTGTTTGCATTTCTTTGCTTTAATATTGTACTCAGTCTCCAGAAACAGTGGAGCATGTGGCCATAGTTGAATATATACATGCATCACCAAAGACTAACCTCACTGCCTCTCAGGTCACACAACACATCTTCAAAGCCATCAGCAGGAAATGAATCAGTTGCCATGTGCACTGCAATGAAAGACAAGTAAAAAGCACCATTAAAAAAACTGTCTCTTGAATTTATATTACCTGCTTGGTACAGTCTCACTTGGAGGAAAAAAAAAAAAGGCAGGAGCAAAATAAAAAAAAAACAAACATTTAATGCAAGATTAATCTGTGCACAGAATACAGAATAAAAGAAAATACTGAGTGTATTAATAACATTAATAATCTCTAAGTAGGCTGAAGGGAGTTGTAGGGCATCAAGTTATAGCACATATAGACAGAAGGCTTCTCATGTAAATGCTGATATGGCTTAGATGAGTGAACAGTGAGGTGGAATGGAAATGCCTGAACAGCCAGTCCCGAATGGTACTGATCACTAACACAAAGTCCAGCTCCAGATGAGGTACTTACTGATGTGCCCTAGGGGTTGCTACTGAGGCCAATACTACAACCTGTTCATTAATTATGTGTATGATGGGACAGTGTGGAACCTCAAGTAGTTTGCAGATGATACGAAACTGGAAGGAGAGGTGGCTTCACCAGATGGATGTGCTGTCATTCAAAGGGACCTGGACAAGCTGGAGAATTGGGCAGGAATTTTATGAGGTTCAACAAAAGACAAACTAAGTCCTGAACCTGAGAGGAATAACCCTGGGCGCAGTACAGGCCCAGGGACAATCAGCTGGAAAGCAGCCTGGCAGAGAACTAAAACTGAAATGTTACTCTTGCCTTGCTCCCAACTCATTGGGAGACAGAACTCATTGTTCTGTCTTCTTTTGGCCAGCTTATATCTCTGAACAGTGAGATGAGGTACTGATCCACCTGAAAAGAAAGTGAAATTTTGATAGTTAATTTTCATCTAGATCCAGTTCCTTGTTTAGACACACAAAAGTGTAGTACAAGAGAAATCACACCAACAGGTAAAAGGAATTAAGAGGGAACTGGTGGGATCAGAAACTCGTGTTGCATCTAAGTGACCACGTAATTATATACTGAATGGGTATGCCATCTGTCAGAGAAAAATTTTGCACATCATCTGCAAAAAAGTGTTATTCTTTCCCACAAATTATAATATCATGAAATTGTCTTTTGTATAGAATTCTTGACAGTGCTTCTTAGTCAGATAGTTCTTCAATGATAGGTTTTTCACTAAAAGGTGATTTAAAGTGCTTATAGGTTTTCTAAGACAGAATGTCCTGTGTCCTGGGTTTATTTCCAGGCACATAAGTTGATATTTGCAACATTTCAGAATAAAATGGGGCCATAAAATATACACATTTTCAGCTTGTCTTGTTTCCAGAGCCATGAAGTCAAAGTCCTAATCAGAGTATGTAGCTATGCTGGGTTTTCACTGAAGGTAAATATTATCTGAATTTGTGCAAACAGACCCAAAAATAAAAGTTATTCCAAGAGATTTGAGCATTCCAGTAAGGATGAAAAGAAGATACAGTGTGCATATACTAAAGAGACTGCTGTGGGTGTTTAGAAGGTCTAAAATATATTATAAAAATATGTTGGATCAAACAGCGCAGTATACCTACCCTAATTTAAGTATCCAAAAGTTAGATATCTAAGTTTAATTTAGTCATTCTGCTTTCCCTTCTCATTCCATGAAGAAAAGTAAGACTCTCTAGAGGGCAATTAATCTCATTCCATGATGTTTGTCTAAAGAGTTAGAGTATTTATGCTCTCGAAGTACCTATTTCACTCCATCCCATGTAATAATTTTACAACATCTCATTCACTGATTCCAAACCTCTTTTCACAAAAGGTAGCCAATCCAGTCCTACTGCATCTCTGCACATACAAGGCAGCAGGAGGGAAATAGAAAACAAAAATCAGATTTAGACAGTAGATATCTCTTCCATTGCAGCTCCTGGGATATGGAGTTGTTTTGTACTGCAATGTTGCAGTTAATTTCAATAGTAAAAAACCAAAACAAAACAAAAAACAAAAACAGACAAACAAACAAACCAAAACAACAAAAAAAAACCCCAACAAAACAGCAGAGTCTATTGTTACTAACAGGCAGTAGATCTGAAGGCAGTGATCAGTTTCCACTTAAATACATTTGCCTTCAATAAAGTCTTTTGTTTGTTTATGCATTTCCAAAGAGGAAAACATACCTATGCCAAAAGATTTTCCTGAAATATTGAAGAATTCTAGACAGCAACCTACACAAGACAATAAAATGGCACTCTGTGTTCTCAAACATGCAGTGAAAATTTTATTACAATATTGAGTTCAGCAAGTAAACCAAGCCTAATCCAGTGCAATCCATAAAATTAATCAGGCACGACCCATACAGCTTAGTATTTTCTTCATTGTGAAGGTTTTAAAAATAAACACTTCTTAGCTATATAAATATGTAACTATATGCTTGTATCAGTTTAACAGTGTAATCAATACAGCTTATACATTTTACAATATTTTTCCTCAAAATAAGAATATATTAATATATATTTTATTATTTTGAATTAAATGAGTAATAATCAAGAACACATAAGACATGCTTTATTTCTTTTGCTGTTCTTTGACTGATGCTTACAAATTTCTGTACTGTGTTGCACTATATAATATGGTTTGGAATGTCAGCATGGAAATCTGTCATTGCCCATTCCATTTGCAAAAACTTGTCTGACCCAGCAGTTGTTAAAGATGTGAAGTGAGTTCAGTAGGTCCAGATCACCAGTACAGTACCTGAAACTTAAATTTATAAATGCTTTGCTATAGCGTCCTATCTCCTTTAATCTGATTAAATCTTCCCTCCACCTCCCATTGTTTTTCATCGTCTGAAAAAGCAATTTTAATATCTACTATGGACCTTTTCTCTGCCAGTCTATGCTGATTCAGTCTGGCATCACAGGATAGAATAATAGGGATGAAATAATTTCAAGAGCATGGTATATACTATTCTCATGACACATCCTACAATATTTTCTGAACACCTAACAGCCAGGCTTCAGAAGCAACACTCTGTCTTCCACATTATCAGCAAATAAGTAAAATAAGGACTAAATGTGGGAGAACAGACCTTCCCTATTCCTCAGCCTCCTCAGCACAAAGCTGAGCAGACTTTCAGAGCCTGTTAGTTTTATATTTTATGTTGTGGAGGGAAACAAATCCGAAAGAGCTATCAGACATCACCTAAAGTACTATGGAATTTTTCAGAGCAGGATAAGTAACTCTAGACTTTATTAAAGTGTTTACTGTAAGTTACTGAAAAATCTTATTATTTTTTATTCTCAATACCTTAACCTTATATCCAAGATCTAATAAAATTCCAACAGAATTAAAATAATTACTCTTACCAAGCATATTCTTATTATAAATTATTCATCACATTGTAATGAAACTGCAGTGATCTTCTGTCTAAATGGAAAGTATTTTCATTTGAGACTTTCCAATGGGAAATTATGTTTAAAAAAATATCTGGCCTTTTTCACTTGCAGGGAAAAAATGGTCACAAATTTTGTTGTTCTGTTGAGCAACCAAACAACACTTTACTTTAATATGACTGACTACAGTTCAGTTTTAAAAAAGCTCTTATACTTAATCAATAGCTATAAAAATCTGTTATTCTGATATTCTGTTACAATAAAATCAGTTGTTCAGAAATATGTTGATATCTGAGGGGAAAAAAACAAACAAACAAAAAGAACTAAAAGGCATCCTACAGAGGTCTGAACCTAGGTCACAGCATCCTATCCATCAACAAAACCAAAGACAGTCGGTAGACACAGACACGTGCTCCTTCATTCAGTGATAAGAAATCACCAGCCACAGCAGCCTGTACATCCAATTTTCATCTCTATCCAGACTAATAAATACCAATAAATGTATCAACACTGTGAGTTGCCTGACCAACTTGTGAAAGAGGAGAAATAAGAAATAATGCAATAAAAAAATTAGATTGCTTATGTCAACTACCAAGTTTTTAACCAAATACCATGCAAGTCCAAGACGTTCAGAAACTACTTCAGAAATATTCATCAACCAAAGATTATGCCTGTACTTCTGCAGCAGTATTTTACTCTACTAATTTCTTTAGACCTTTTCAATAAGTTGGGCTTTAGTCACTATGAGCAAAGCTTGAGGAACTATGCTGACCTTCCTAGAATGAGAATGATCAGAACAAACTGAATGATTCATTCAAAGTTGGCACTGATAAATCTTCGCATAGAAACTGAACTTGTCATTCAGTGATTTTTGACTTGTCCTGACTGGTTTTATAGTTTTAAACTCTTCACACAGCCTCATTTTCTCAAGCACCTGGATGAAAAAAACTCATCAAAGAAGTGAGGAAAGATTGCAATCCACCATGCAAACTCCATCTCACTTTATACTTCTCCTTAGGCTGTGTACTAAAAGCAGCCTTTGAAGGGTTGTTGTGAAGTGGCCATCTAATTAATTCTGCAAATGTCTGTGAGAGACTGGATTAATCTCACTGGATAATTTATTGTGTCGGAACAAACTGTGTGTATGTATTGGGGGAGGGGCAAGGCCAGAGCCCTCATGGTCAGGCCGGCAGCCTCATGGCAGCCTCATGGCAGCCTCATGGCAGCCTCATGGCAGCCTCATGGCCGGGCTGGAGCCCACCTGGAGCAGCTGTCAATCAAAGCGGCCCTCCTGGTAGCCCTCCCACACCATGCCCCCAGAGCCTATGATTAGCTGCACTACCTCTCACTCTGGCCTGGAGGGCACTGAGTGGTCAGTGGACCCAGCATCTCGCCTGGAGGGTGTGGCCACGGTGGCCAGGTCATATAAACACAGGGGCACAAAGACTCTTCTTTCTCCTCACTGGCCGTCACCAAGTGAAGGATTCTTGGCGGTAACTATTCTGTTATTCCATTCTCTTCCTTTACTCTTTTTCTCTTCTCTCTTTACTCCTCTTAATCTCTGTTTCTTTCTTTACTCTTTCCTTAATCTCGTGGGTAACTTAAAACTGACAGGTATTTTACTAAGTTGTGGGTTGGTGTTTACTGAGTGCTTTGTGGAATCTTCTTCTTGGTTGTATGTTACTCCTGTGAACCTTTTGCGAAAATGCCTATTTTCTCACTAAATTAAAAAGAATCTCTTGAGAAAACATGTCTGTGTTTTCTCTTTATGTGACCTCAAGGTATAAAGAACTAAAAGGCTCTGGAAAAGTTTGGTGGAAAAACTTGGGAATCTTAAATATAAGTAATACTCCCAGTAAAGCTTGAGGCTTTTGGACTGGGTTCTTGCTATGGCTCAGTATGCTTTATGACCAGTAAAAATATTGACAAAAATCTTGATATAAAGATCAGATCGTAAGAAGATGGAGACAACGTGTTCAAACAGCAAAGCTGGACAATGCCACCTTCATTATCATGAACATTCCAAAAATGTTTCTCTTGTCCCTTACAGTTCACAATGGCTGCTGCAGACTAGCTCTCTGCATAAGGAGGTGGCTACCACCATTTCCTACACTTCCTGCAAACACAGCAACAAACGTATGCTGAGTGCCATTTGAATTGTGATTCTCCTGTCACTGGGTAAATTTCATAATAGATGAAGTTTGGGGTGTTGTTGGAGAACGTGTGAATTATGAATCATGGAAAAAATGCCTTTAAGAAAGGAACCACCACGGCAGCAGCTCTGGAATTAAGTGAACTGAAAACACAGTTTATTTGCAGTTTTATTGTACAGGTCCCTTTAAAGCTCTGTTACTCCCTCACCCATGCGGTCTCCCTGTACAACGCCATGATTGCCTTCTTCACTGAGCCAGCCCCCTGCCCCTGTCTTAACCCCACTGGTCGTCTCACCCGTCTCTCCCCAGTCCCTGGGTTTCTATTGGATTTTATCCTCCTGTTTCCCCTGTTGGCCAGCCGAGTCTCCAAACCACCCCCTTCCCCCGACCCTGTACCCAATCATGGCCCCCTTCCTAAGCCCTCCCTCGAAACCCATAAAAACCTCTTGCTGCTTTGAATAAACTGCTTTTTCTCCACCGAACCTCACAGCGTGTACCGCGTGTTTTCTGCCACCGGCCAGGGGCTTGCACAACCCGGCCCCACCTCTGAGAGGTTACAAGTGAGGGAGCTGATCCCCTCTCAGCCTTGTTAGGGTGTATGTTTGTCCATCAGTCATGTAGTATGGCAGATGGAAGGATGAAGTGGACATAGTGTAGGATAAGGAGAGGTGTTGCAAGTGCTGAGGAAGTCAAGTATGTATCTGTCCATCACAGTTGTTAATAATACTGAGTCACATTGTCTCTATGCTAAAGTTACTACGGTTTTTGCCACTTATTCAGGGGAGATAATTATTTATTGGCTATTTGATTTCACTGTCAGCTATAAATACATCACACAACCAATAGAAAACAGCATCATGTAATCAAGTAATGAACAGTCCCCCAGGTAAAATTATAATTGTATGAAATTTTCCTGCCATTACATTTTAATATACTACCTAATTTAGGCAATATATCTTGATGTATTGAATCCTTGTTGAGTCACAAAATAGTATCTCTGCAAGAAAGCTGTAGCGGTTGCTAAGGATTATGTTGTTGAGGCTGGTGGAGCTGTTTCTGACAGTTCCCAAATGAACAACTCTAATATATTGTATAGCCATTATCAAATTAGCATCGTATGCTTTGAGATTCTTATCTGCTAATAAGTCCTCCATGCTTGGCTTTTTACAACAGTGGTTCTTAATAGATAATGAAAGCTGGAGAAATGTAATAGAAGGTATTGCAAGGCTTAGAGAAGCTTAAGTTTCTCTCAACAAAATCAACAGCAGTTTTGAGAGTACATTATGGAAAGCAACAGGACATGGTGGCCTGACTGGGAGCTCACTTTGCAGCTAGGAAGTTTCAGATGGAGGTTACCTTGTCAATAAACTAAGTTTCATATAGACTTAGCTAAAAGTCAGAAGCGCTTACAATGTGTTATGAGAACACTTTCTTGCCAAAGAGTCTCTTCTTCTAATGAAACAATTTGAAGAAATGGATTGTAGTACAAAAAACATCTGGGATTGTAATTGCACAGCTTTGTACTCTGGCCAACTGTTCATCTTCTGTGTACAACATTTCAGTAGGAAAAGCGTTACTTACCATTTCAGTGGTATTTCTGAAGACATGTCACAAATCCTACTCAAATTATCAGAGGAAAACAAAAAAAGTTATATTCTGTACATAAAGGTAAGAAATGAGACCTATGAAATAAAATTGACCAAAATAAACATAAGAGTTGTAAAATTAAGCTCAATTAGTTTAGCACATATCTATAATTAGATATGCAAGAGTGCTGTGTCATTATTGGTCCATAGTCTTCTAATTTATTTGTTGTGTGTAATTTTCCTGGGCTCCAGTAAGTAATATAATACAGCACCTGAAATTGTTGAACTTTCCCTTTTCCGGACTGGATATTCCCCAGGGGAACTTCTCTCTGCAGGGAAGTTATACCGAGGCCTGCTTCAGCATTTTCTAGAAATGGGCATGTATATGCAGTATTTAACTTTGGAGATAACATAGCAGCTTTCCTTTCAAAACAAACAAACAAACAAACAAAAATGAAAAATGAAAACAGACCTAAAACAACCAACTAAACACAAACAAACAAACAAAAATCTCTACCAAAAAAAACCAAACAACAACAACAAAAAAAAACTGCACCAAAAAAGAGCAAAATTTAGACATTCTTAGTAACATAGTCCAATTTAGAAAATCACTGTTCATCATCTGAATTGGGTATCATTCATAGCATACCACAAACTTTTTTGCAGTTTTTGCTTATGACATCCCATACTAGTAACCAAAGAAGTCCTTACAAGTGAAATACTACAAATTGCAACACAGAGATATCTCCTACAGCTTTACACAATTTTCCAGTCAGTTTAAGTCTGGTCTGAGGTGAGTTCAGATGAGTTTAACCTATCACAGGGTAAACAGAAACAGCAGGAAGAGGAGGTAACGGTGTAAAAAACTGTTCCTTATATTAGATAATAAGCATAACAACAGCTCAAATAGGAATCTGGACTGCAGCAACAGCCCTTTAAGAGCTATTTGAAACCTACGTGGCTACCAAATAGAGATATTAAAACTCTGTACTGAGTCACAAAAGAGAGGAAGGAACAAAGTGTGTTTTCCTTGGTGAAAGGAAAGCTTCTTATTTGGTGATACAATTTTAAGGTTATCATGTGAACTTGCCTTTTCCAGATACTGAAGGCTGCAAAGAATCAATGGTGTTTGATGGTGCACCATAATCAGATCAATTATAACAAATCTCTGTAACACATTCTTGTCATAAATTTTGCAAGAAGAATTTTTCTCTTGGTTTAAACAATTAATTGGTTATTTTTAAGGTCTTTGTCACCAATGAAAATTAAACAGTGATTCTTTGAAGCTCATTAAAAGTTTTTTAGAGATCTTTCACTGTTTTGGAGCTCTTTTCACTTTTTTTATTTAAAGGGAAAATAATTGAATCAAGGGATGAATTATGTAAAACAAAAAGAAATAAAGATTATATTTACTTAAAATCATCTGGTCAAATAAATGTGATTAATAATCAACATCACTTGTTCAGGAATTCAGTTCTGACTGGAATTTCTGACTGGGATGTCTGCTAGTGGACAACACTAATGCACCTGAAGCTGAAAGCAGACACCTAACATTTAAAACGTCAGCACTGGAGTTGTCAGGGAAAGGAATGTTTTACTTTGTTAAGGCTATATCTTGGACACTTCAAATGAAATAGAACCACTGGCTTGTGTGCTAAGCAGCTAAGTCCATTCAACTGCAGAACTGGTTAGAAAATTTCCCGGAAACAACTTCTCCTCTGAAAATATTGATATTACATTTTGCAAAGTTTAGACAGAAGCAGGTCCCAGGCTCACCAGCAAAGTCTGAAGCTCTTGCCTCACACGTGGTGAAGAACACTCAAGTTCAGAACATTATATGTCTTAATGTAGGAAAGTGCTGAAATATAGAAGACTAGATTTGTGTCCTGATGGAAATGCCACCATTCCTATTCCTCTGCTAATGTAATTTCTTTTTGTGTCTCTAAGTATTCACAAGATCAGGAATAAATAAGTTTTAGAATCCACATTATCTGTAGAAGGAAGAAAAAGCATCTCTGACACAATATTGAAATTATACTGAGGTTGGGTTAAGAAGACATAAACATTAATGGTAGCCAATTTAATGTGGAAAGACAATCGGGACCTTCTAGAAGGAGAATGTAACTATTTCTGGAAAAATACTCAAAAATTAAGTTTTTAGTTATTGTATAACATACTCTGTGGTAAATTAATTTCTTTAACATATTTGTGTAGTAACTGGTTAGCCTATGAACCAAGAGGTAATTCCAAATTTACTGACCCATTATTTCAATAATTTTAATTCTATTTTTTCTAGATGATAATTACAGTACTGTATAGGAACAAATGTAAAAGGAAAAAAATATTTTAGATGTTTATTTTTCTGTTTTTATTTTAAATGTTGCATTTCATTTAAAAAAAAAATTAAATCAACACTTTAGCACCAGAATAAATGGTACTTAAAGATTAAATTTCTAACCCCCCCTGCAATTAGTTGAACAGTAACTTAGGCCTTACTGTCAGTTCTTTGAATTTTCCGTATAAAACCAACTTAATGCCTGCTAAAGGAAAACAGAGCATTATGCATCAGAAGGAAATGGCCTCTGGGAAAATATTATTCATATTTCACCATGTGTCCTACTATTACTCGGCTCATTAAAGATGAAGAAAATAAATCTCATCTTTCC